GATGTTCTACATCTGGCAATGTCAGAAGAGAGTTTTGCTCATAAATCATAGCCAAAATGTACTCCTATCAACCCACCACTACCGCCTTGGGACCCGTCACATGTTTCACCCTTCCAGGACTGAAGATCAAAGGACTGTTCTTTATGTCTAAGACACCTAGGAGAGGCAGCAGCCCCTTCATCTAAGCAGAGGATGTCCTGAATCCAAAGGCAATCCTTTTAGAAGCCTCCTCTCCACCCTGTCATCAGTTTTGTTCCCGAAAACAATCCTTGCAAGTGAAATTCCAAGAAAGTAATTGCCTTTGTTTTGGAGAATGGCCATAACAACAATAAGAGTGATTTGGTGCAACATGAAAAAGGAGGAACACTTTTATTATTTCATTTATTATTATTTCCAGAGAGACAAAAAGCTAAACTAAGTGACTCAGCCTCAGGTGTTAGGAGAGGAGGAGGAGGAGGAGGAGAAAGGGGAAGGAGAAAAATGCATGCTGTAAAATGTATGCAACCTATCCTATCAATATTTTAATCAACTTTTATAAAAGCCATTTCTGTTCTGCTCTCTATTTTGATTTTAAAAAACTTTGTCCTCTGTTAGTCACTGGATGAATTAGTGCAAAAATATCTTCTTCTCTCCCTCCTTTAAAGGTAGCTGATCATTAGCTAGATTAGTTAATAATTATGTATATGATATCCACAATATGTTAAACGATAAATCAAAATATTGATTATGATTTAATTTGATGAACAGACCTCATTGGAGGACCCTATTAATTTAAGCAAAATCTAAAAAATTATTCATTCACAAATTGGTTGATTCTTCATGATACCTCTTTCTAAGCAGAAATAGAATTTGTAAATACTAGTCAACACAACAGCAAGGACAATGCAGGGAGATAGGTCAAAAGAAGGAGGTGATGATCATTTTTTCACCATGGTTCCCCAGGAAATCATATCTAAAACATGCTGTTTGTAAATAAGAGATAGAGGATAGCATGCTGTTGGATTTTAGATAGCCAAAAAATAGGAGTATGCAGGTGTGTTGGTCTAATTTGAATAGATGATCCGAGTTGGAAAATTGACTTATTTATGCCCAAATCAGATTATTGAAATGAGTCAAGTTCAAGATGATCTTTGAAAGAGGCTTTTGTATGAAGGCCATCTCAATTGTCTAAAACAGCTCAAAAGGATCTCTTTGATTCTGGGTAAGAGCTTCCATTTATTTCATTACTTCATTTCAGAAAGATAGTTTGATTTAGAGATTCAATTAAATGTTATTCAAAATGAAATCAAAACTTTGCACAATCTTCCCAGAGAAGGAAAGCAAAATAAGGATTCTGTCTATAGTTGAAGTAGGTATTGGGGGAATGAATACCTCCTTTGCTTTTGGTGACCAGCATCAAGAGATCCATGAACCTTATGCCATCAGTTCTGTGATCCATTAAATCATCTCTTAGTGGGATTGGCAAATCTCTGCCATTTATCTTTCCTTTGTTTCTCCTGTCATCATAGTGAGAGATGTATGGAGAAGAAACGTGGTCCCTCTCTTCTTCCCTTACTCTACTTTTCTAGGAAATAAATCTCTTTAAATCAGCTGGAAGTGTTGCCAGCTGATAAACTGTGCCCCTTCATGATTTGACTCCATGGTGGAGCCACCCAGATGTCTACTGCCCTGGATTAGCTGCTGGCTGCTATGCCTAATCCAGTTTTTGTGTGTGAAAGAGGGAGGGGAGAGAGAGAGGGCCAGAAAGAGAGAAAATAGCAATTGACTTATATACTGCTTCACAGTGCTTTAAAGCCCTCTCTAAGTGGTTTACAGATTCAGCTTATTGCCCCCAACAATCTGGGTCCTCATTTTACCTACCTCGGAAGAATGGAAGGTTGAGTCAACCTTGAGCCGGTGAGACTTGAACTGCCGGTAACCAGCAGTCAGCAGAAGGACCCTGCAGTACTGCATTCTAACCACTGCACCACCACGTTTCTTTGGTATCAGTTCCTAATACTACAGAATGTTCTGCTGTCCCAGTAAAACTATACTTTCCAATGGATTAGGCACTTGTTGATTGGAATTGGCTTTTCACATTGTTCATAAGGCTTAGTGAGGTCATGGTGGAACATATCAAAAACTATACCTTATTCACTCCACTACTGTGCCTGCTCTGTTAGGGCTAGTTAGTCAGTTTTATCTGGGGGAGAGGGGTGGTTAAAATATCCACTCTATTTTCTGTTTCCGATTCATTCCACATAGTTCTTTTGCCATTCTTCCAAGAAAAGCTGTTGGGGACATTCCCTCTTTCACTGCCAAAAAGTGATTGGCCTTGAACAGTCAGTGACTGGGGACTGTGGGCTAGAGTGATACTCACAATAGTCTTAGGTGACCAGTAGGAACATGGAGCCTTTGACTCTAACCTAACCTTGGTAAAATGTGCAGCACATGAGTGCCAGCACAACTTTAAGCTATAAATGCTACTTCAGAAGTAGAACAAGAAAACATAATCAATGCTCAAAGCTTTTAAGTCTTTGGGAAACTGAATAGAGGTGGTTCTAAAGAGGAGAGAAAGGAGCTGTATTTCTTTGCTGGACCTAGCAAATACTTCTTTCGACATTAAAAATGATAGCACTTATCCTATTCACGAAAGACTACAAATTTAAGTTTATTTTACTTATCTGAATGAACCTTTTCAGGATCCAATTATTATATACAGAAAGGATCTTTCTATATCTGCTCTGCAGGAGATTGCCAAGAAAAGGAACTCTAAATCAGCATCATAATTCAGGCTAAATATACAAAGGACACTGAACATTTATATATCTATATGTAAGATTTATGCTTCTCACCTTCATTCTTCTTTGGTGTCTTCTTTGGAATAAAATGTCTATGCATCTGTCCTTTTAAGAAGCCTATTTGCTGCTCAAGTGCTTCATCTTGTAACCGCAATAATTTAAATGTTGGGGAAGTGAATCCTCCTAACGGCTTTAGGAAGTATGTAACAATATATGAAAGTTTAATTGGAAACTTTGCATATTTTCCTTGTTAGGCATATCAGCAGTTCTCAGTCAAATGCAATGAATTTCCAGAAACTGACAATCACTTCTAGTCCAAAATAGATATTTGTTCATGGGAATAAAAATCCTAGATGGTCATTAATGTAAATAGCAGCTTGACAAAAGGGGCACTCTGGTTTTGGTTTAAACTCAGCGCCTGGCTTCTAAAGGGAGGTGTGTGTGTGTGTGTGTGTGTGTGTGTGTGTGTGTGTGTGTCAGAGAAACAGAGACAGACGGAGAGAGAGGGAGACAGAGACAGAGGGGGCGGGGGCGAGGGATATAGCAATAGCAATAGTAATAGATTTATATACCGCTTCACAGTGCTTTATACTCTCTCTAAGCGGTTTACAAAGTCAGCATATTGCCCACAACAATCTTGGTCCTTATTTTACCAATCTTAGAAGGATGGAAGGTTTGGGCTGGTGAGACTCAAAATGCTAAACTGCTGGCAGTTGGCAATCAGCAGAAGTAACCTGTAATACTGCATTCTAACCACTGCACCACCACAGCAATCCCACTGATGGCAAGAGAATCAAGAAATTTGCCATTTCTCAAGGAAAGGAAAGTGGAACTTCCTGTTCAACCTGCCCATAGCAAACTCAGCCTTTGGCAGATTGTTCTTGCTTCACTTGAAAAATAGTGCCTTCTGGTTCTTGCCGCAAAAGCCATGTGTTCTGCTCCATCTGAAATGATTCCTAGCAAGTAAAGGCTGGGCGTAGGAGTCTAATCTGATCCTCTTGGCTTCTATAGCTGCTGTGGGCATATCACACATTTGGTTCTCGGTAATTGATTTTCAGAGTTACTTCCCTTTTTTGAAGCAGGGATGCCAAAGCTCTTCCCATGGACCCCGAATCTATCCCATGGAGGACAGGGAAGCTTTTAATAGACTATCTGACATATCTATTAACTTAAACCTTAAAGCACCTACGCTATGGGAGATGGGGTAAAGAGAAGTTGTCAGTCCTGAAGCTGACCTGGCCATAGCCATCTTGGAATTTCAGTGCTGCCACACTGGAGCAAGGGATAGGGAGGAGGGATTAGAGATAGCTGGGGTTGTGAAGTCAAAATAAAATACTTTCTCTTGGGAACCAAGGATGTTCTCACACCTGGCCGGAGGAAGGAGGAGTGATGTCACTAGACCAGTGGACGCTGCCTTGATTGGGCCATGTGACTGATTGTTTGGGACTGAGGGAAAACCTTTTACTTTTAATTAAATGAAAACCAAGGGGCCCCTCAGGGTTGGTTTTCACCAGATATGTGCCAATATGATATTTCCAATAAAGCTATCCTTTGAGGAATTCATCTGCCTCAGAGTTTTTGCTTGCAATGGATCTATTACTTGGAACCCTGTATTCTGGGGCTGGGACCCCATAAAGCTGCCCATTGCTTTACCCCAGGAGTGCCATCTGTTTTTCATCTCCATATGGCCATAATCTCCCTTCTGCTTTTTTTGTCAAGACAGAGTATGGTTAGAAATGTGGTCACTAGTATTTGTTTTAAAGTCAGCATACTTTTTTGCCAAGTCCTTTGGTGGCTAATAGTCCTTTGCTGTTGCTATCAAGAGCAGTCCTTGGTTGAAGAATTTCAAAGATGGGACTGTTAAACAATTATTGTAGAATTCATATCAGCAAGCTTTGAATCCATGTATTTGGGAGACAACTGAGACCAAGGGCTTTCCCCCCACCCCTTACATGTTAAAATATCATTGGGGAAAAAGGACCTAGGAAAATATACTTTCTCACCAGACTTCATAGCTATCAATGTCAACTTTAAGTATCTGATAATATTTTGAACAATGTTAAATTCCTTGGCCATTTAATCAAATTATTTACCATCCTTTTTTTAAAAAAAATACTATTCCTTTACATATTAAGAGAAGGAGAAAGGGATCTGTCCTCCAAACTGAAATAAACATAGATTTGACAAAAATGTATATCTCCTGAAGCAGAAATTTTATACCTGTGGCTACTGAGAAATGTCCCACGGAGTCTCATTCAGCAATCCTGTGTGTATTTTCCTGGAATCAGCTAAATGAAGCTCAGAGTAGGTGGCTGTGGAAGTGCAGGTTTAATCCATTAATATATCACATCTCATTGTTACATTTTCTATGACAAGCAAATACTGTTACTTTTCTAAAATACTAATTATAATGTAGGTTGGAACCAATATGGTCATATTCTCAGATACTAAAGAGTTTAAAATAGTTATCCTTAAAACTGATTTAAATCCCACTCGAATTAGCAAAATTAATGAAGACAAAATGCGGATCTATCCCAATAAATAAAAATCAGACACATCACAATATGGAAAGTAAGATAAATGAGAAGACTGGGGCTAACATTTTTACATTTGCCTAGATTTGGAAGCTACAGCACCATCAGGAACATCTGTGCCATAAGATAGAGTGGGAGGTTGAAAAACGCTCCATAAAAAAGGCTGTGGCAGATCTTTGAAAAAATCTTGCCAAGAAAAGAATATGAAAATGTCCATGAAGTCATCAGGAATCAAGCTCAGGTTGAAGGCTATTTTACCTTAGCCTATAAATATTAAGGAAAATATAGGTTTTAAAATTGTACTGGCCCCCATGAAAAATCCTCCACGTTCCTCATTTATTTTTGTCCATGGATACTTTTTCTTGTGCTGGGAAAAGGGTTTTATTGTTTTTGTCCCAAAATCAAAGCAAGTTTTTTCCCCGTGCTCTCCTTCCTTGTCCTAACTGTTTTAAAAAGGGGAGAGGAAAAAATCTGTCATTACCCCCATTTCCAGATTCCTGTTTGAAATTCGTGATTCAAGCCCGAGGACATTTAATAGCTGGCTGGATTAAATATAGCAGACTCCAGCCTCCACTCTCTTTGAAAAGACAGGTCTCGGGGTTGTGCCTAAATTCACAGGATGAAAACTGATCTACGATACATGTTTTAAGTTTAGATCTGAGGGGAGGGGGGTGGCGCGGGGAGGAAAAGCCGCTCTGCTCTGGATCTGGTTTATATTGGTGTAAAGCCCTTGAAGTTGAAAGGTGCTTCAGGAAGCTCATGAAGAAGAAGAAAAGGGAAAAGGGGGAGGTGGTATGTTTGCTGGGGGAGAGATGCACCAGAGCAGCATAGCTGAAATATTTCATTAAGTTGCATTAACACATGGCTCAACATCCCCCCTCCCCTCAAAAAGGAATGGGGGGGGGAAGAACCCAACATACCTGCCTATAGCCAGCTTTCCTCCCCTCCCCCCCCCTGCAATAGTTAACCCTTTCTGGATTCAGCTACATTGTCTGTCCCAAGATTCTGCTGCATTGAAGGATACAAAATACATGGCAAGCCTTTTAAAAAATTTTGAAGTGAAGGAAAAGTGATTTCCCTTTAGAAAAATATTTTGAGGTTTCCCCTTATCTATTTCATTTGTATAACAACACTGAGAGAAAAGGTCAGATTGAGAAAGAGTTGGGTGTGAACCAGTGGTGAAATCCAAATTTTTTTACTACCGGTACTGTGGGCGTGGTGTGACTTGGTGGGCGTGGCTTGTTGGGCATCGCAGGGAAAGGCTACTGCAAAATCTCTATTCCCTTCCCACTCCTGGGGGAAAGATATTGCAAAATCTCCATTCCCATCCCACTCTGGGGCCAGCCAGAGGTGGTATTTGCCAGTTCTCCAAACTGCTCAAAATTTCCTCTACCGGTTCTCCAGAACCTGTCAGAACCTGCTGGATTTCACCCCTGGTGTGAGTCTATCCCAGTGTTTAGATTTGCATCACATTAAACTACAGAGCCAGCTTGATGTAGTGGTTAAAGGCATCAGCTAGAAATAGAGAAACCTTGGCTGTGAAGACAGATGGATGACCATGGACTAATCATTCTCTCTTAAGAAGGAGGCAATCACAAACCACTTCAGAAAAACCTTGCCAAGAAAACTCCACGGATTAATCCAGGCAGTTTCTGAAAAGCCAACATGATTGAACAGAGAAAGACACCCCCTCCCCCACTATGATTTACTCAGCTCATCCAATTTAGAGATGGCATCTAGCTCAGCCCATATGTTGACCACATGGCTGAATTCATCCAATAGGCTAAGATAAAATGTGGTCAAACTGTGGTTCAATTCCAATATAATCAATGAGATTCTCTTCCTAAAGGAGAAAGTTAGGTTGAAAATTCTAGAATTTTGGAATCTTCCAAATATATTTGACATTATCTCTCATAACAGTCTGACAAACCAGTATTTAATTATGCTGGTTTGGGATGATGGGCACTGAAATTTAATGAAACTGGAAGGCAAGCTGGGCCAAACTAATCTGGTTTAAAATATGTACATATTTCAAAACTATTGTTTAAAAGTTAAATCTTTGAAATTTTGCAAAATTGGCTAATCACAAATATAGAATACTTTTTAAAAACTTAAAATTGCCTATCACTTATCTAAATATTTGCATTTTTCTCGAAAAAATAGAATGGCAAGTGAGGAAATGTGGAAGCAGTGGTGAGGGTTACCTCTCTTGTGCTGGCTGGGATTAGTAGCAGTTTTAATCCAATACATCTGGACAGCACCGACTTTGGAAGGGCTCCTTGGTTTCTATTTTATTCCCCCCCAAAAAAGTTGTTCACATCTGTTGCCATTATCAAAGGACAATGGAAAGAACCATTTTTAAAGGGGGAAATGTGAAATACATGCTTGTTCAGAAAGCAATGCTTCTGAATGAACCCCTAGTTAAATTGGCATAGGTATGCAGGACTCTGACAGCAAGTATGCCCAAATAAACTGGATTCATACAACTCTGTGAGCTATGCATAATCATTTTTACAGACTAAACCAAGACTGGCTGGGTTCACTCAACATCTAAATGATAAACAAGCAAGCTATATTTTGATTTAGATTAGTATCTATCTTAGGTTATAGTGCTAACCTAAAGGTTACTGATACGTTTATATTATGACAGAATGGGGATTTAAGAAAAAAGCTATAAACAGTGGAACTGTTGTATTTCCAGAACAAATGTGCACTGGATGACAATTGTGTTCCTTGCGTTTACCATTATTAACCATGAAAAAGTCTGTGATGCAAAACCAGAAATTATGCTGCAAATCTTTCAGATACCACAAGGTTCTTGAATATCCTTATGCTATCCATATTTAAAATGATAAATTATATAAAATAAGTTAAATCCTTAGGGTAAATCTGCTTAATGCAGGCTGGAAGCGACAAGCTAGTTAATCCTACTTAATCCAACACACCTAAAGAACATTTGAATGAAAAGACTGAAGTAGTGTTTGGTGGTGGTGGGGGACTTAAAAAGGAAACATTTTTCTTTCCTGGACAAGATAGTTAGAAATGATTGCTCCTGCTGTAGCCAATTCTAGAATGAAATTGTATCAAGGCATTTTGAAAGCCTAGGTACTTTTAATAGCTCTTATCCAAAAGCTTGGTTGCACAACAAAAGTGCTTGGCTACATGATGGCTCAGTATAAACCAACCTTATTTTTGATCCAATGAACTATGATTCAGAGAGTTTATGATCATGAGCTCTGACATCCTGGACTCAGTTAATTCAGCATCGTATATTCAAATAACCATAAATACACCTGGCCAACGTCATTTCAAAAGCAAGCTCTCACCCCTGAAAACAGTAAGTTCAAAAGAAGAAAAGAAATACAAACTTCACTCCCCGATCCCTCCTGCACACTGAAAAATCGAGTTTTGACTAGACTTTTTACTTCACTGACTGAGGGATGGGGCTGGGGGAGCTTATTCCCAATATATTGGCCGCAAATTTAAAGTCAACGGGTTGAAAAGGGGGAAAAAAGGAAAAGAACCGGAAGCCCAACGTAAACAACTGCACAAATAAGAACGACCATGCTATGGCAGCAACGAAATACAAAATACTTCAACTCTGTGCCCACCTCCTGATCGTTTCCAGATCTCGGAGACCGAGTTCCTCTTGAAAGAGACCCTCAAGGACAAGGCAATTAGTTCTGCTCTTTCTTAGCGAGCGTTGCTCCCACACGCCTGCGTTCGCCACGTTCACTCCTTGAAAAATTAGCCTACCAATAGTTTAGGGCAACGCAGCGCTAATTTCTAAATACCCTGAAACTCGAAAATGGGATTAATGCTAGAAAACCTGCTGTAAACGAACTAATCCAAAAAACTAAGAGGCGGGCGACTCGGAGTTGTACTCACTCTTTGTTTCCAACTCGGTGTGGTGGAAATCGTCTTAAATCTTGGCGATGGAAGAGCAAATCAGCGGGAGACTAGGAAAAGTTGATAGTATTTAAGCAAAGGATCCGATCAAGTAGGGATTGACAGAATCCAGTTTCTCTTGCGCTGCTTTGCGAACGGATAGGAGAATCTGTCTTTTTACGCCCACCTCACTCATTTTGCCGCGTCTTTCAAGATTATTCCTCATGTGGATCATTCATAAAACACCCATATGCAGTTTTAATAATCCTCGTGGTTGATCATACCGGGAATCGAGAAAAACAAAAATGGGACCTGCTTGTACTGGAATGTGAGTGATCCAACAGCAATTATGCAGTGCAAAGGACACCAGAAGGTCCCTGGCACTGTATATACCACCTCCTTTTCTAACCCTGAACCAAAAGATTTTATTAGAACTTGGGAGCACATGGGCAGGAAAACCATTCTTCCCCTTTTTGGTTAATAGACAAAAAAACTTCTACCTCTTCTCAGAATAGGAAAGCTTGCCAGGTCCCTCATAAGGCCAGTAGGCCCCATTTCTCTGTGGAGTAAGACTCGCTGGTCTTGAGGGAGTTAACTTTGGAGAAAGCATGTTAAGGATTAGGGTTGCCACCTAGTTTTAATTTCCTGATGAGGTATCAATTATAATTTGTATGTGAAATTGCCTTTCTGTCAACCGCAGGAATCCAGGAGAAGAGTGGAGCAGAGAGGCAACGTCGGCGGAGGAGGGGGTCACTCAAGCCTCTAAATACTGGATGTCCCGACTTCTCTACTTGGAAGTATCTAGATAGTTGCAGCGGGTGCCGTGGCTGTTCCAAAAAACCACCTCCCCCAAGGGTTTCAAAGCGCCTCTTAACTTCCTAAGAACCAGC